CGTTTACTGGGTAAACCCGGCCGAGAGGTGCGGGCCTGCCCCAGGCCACCAGGTGTGGGGAGGCAACATCTGCACGACACTCCGACAGCCCTGCTGGGCTGCCTCCTGACAACCCGGGCATGCAGATCCGTGTCCTTAATTATCCTTTGAAATGAGTAAAAAATAGAAGCCTCCGTATGCACATAGGCCTTTGAAAGACCCGGTTCAACAGTATGGATTGTGAAAACCCCGTTCTTGACAGCTGTGTAATATTCCAGGGCAGGGTTGGCCCTAACTGATTTAGCTAGGCCCCTCTTGTTGGGAATGTAGGTTTTTCCCACTGAGGGCTGACTTTTTATTTATTTTGAAAAAAATATTTTTATTGATTTCAGAGAAGAAGGGAGAGGGATAGAGAGGTAGAAACATCAATGATGAGCGAGAATCATTGATTGGCTGCCTCCCTCAGGTCCCACACTGGGGATCGAGCCCGCAACCCAGGCATGTGCCCTGACCGAGAATTGAACTGCGACCTCCTGGCTTATAGGTCGACGCTCAACCACTGAGCCACGCCGGCCCAGCAGGGTTGGCTTTTTATATGTCCAGAGTGTCAGGATCAGAAAGGCCCTTAGAGCATCCAGTTCGACTGTTCATTTTACAGATGGGGCAACGGGAGTGCCGAGAGGGGAGAAGGGGACTGGTCGGGTCCCAGACTGTGGCCTCCTGAGCTGGCACGTGACCTGCTCTCCTGTCTGGCCCAGGGTGGGCATGGATGAGGGCAGTGCCCGTGGGGAAGGGGTGTTCTGAGAGGGTGGTGGGAGCACGGGGTGGGTAGTGGAGAGAGTGGTAGAGGAGGCGGGCTGGAGCTGGTGGTGGAATTGGGGCATGGGGTGAGGAAGCCTCCGTGGCCAGGATGTCCTCAGTTGGCTGAGATGAGATGGGCCCAAAGGGGTGTTTCCTGTCCTCAGAGCTGCCCTGTGGAAGATCTGGGGGGGACAGGGAGGTGGGGTTGGGAATCAGAGTGGTGGGAGGGTGTGTCAGTGACAGTGTGTGCCTGGGCTTTTAAAAGAATATATAGATGCGAGAGCGAAACATAGATCAGCTGCCTCCTGCATGTCCACCACCAGGGATCCAGCCCGCAACCTGGGTGTGTATCCTGCCCGGGAATCCAACCGGCAACCTTTCGGTGCACGGGAGGATGCCAAACCAGTGGAGCCACAGTGGCCAGGGCTGATCTTTTTCTGGTGGGATGGTCTGTCAAGTTCAGCCTGGGTCTTCTCTACAACCCCTCCCCCACTCCCCCAGGCCCTTCTGCTCTCTGGGACCTGGGTTCTGTGGCCCCTTCCCCAGCAGATGCCGTCTTCCCGCCCCTCACCCCCTCCAGCAGCAAGTGAATGCGGTGGAAGCTGGGTTCCCAGCCAGGGCAGCTGTGGCTGGGCTGGGGGTGGAGACGGAGGCTTCCCCTGCCCGGGCCGGGCTCTCCATTGTGTAGCACCCTTGGCTGTCCCGCTGCCCAGAGCCTGGCCCCGGCCCACATTCCTGCGGTGACGCTCTGGGTCTCCGGGTTGGAGCTGCTGAGCGTGAGGGGCACTGAGTTCTCACAGCACTGAGGGCTTTTGGGGTCGGGGACGGGGACTGGCGGGAGGAAGCCTATAGGGACCCACAGGTCTCTGCACGGACCACCTGCGTCCAGGAGCTGGTGGTGAAGTCACCTCTCTGAGTGCTGCTTCGTGTGGTAATTCCCCACCCTGCCCCTCTTTCCCCTCTTGGGGCCTCAGTTTCCACATCTGTGAGATGGGAGAGTTACACTCAGTGATCACTCAGGCCTATGGTTTAGCCTTAAGGTGAGCCCTGAGGTGGGAAGCGTGCGGTGGAAATACCAACCGATGGGCAGCACATTATCTGGTGCATCATCTCACTTGATTCTCACAGCTGCTCTATGGAGTATGAGCTATTATTGTCCCCATTTAACCAAATGGAGGCCCAGAGAAGTTAACTTGCTCGGAGTCACCCAGCAAATAAGTAGAGTTGAACTTGAACCCAAGACTGAATCTAAAGCTGGGATCCCAACCCCTGCTCACACTCCTCTAGTCACCAGGAGAGTCGTGCCTGCGTCTGGCTAATGCAGGGAGGGAAGCTTGCGCAGAATTAATCATACGCGGTTTTATTCTGAGCGTTTGCAGCATGATTAGCACAGCACAGGGTGCTGGCTCCCGGCGGCCTGCCAGCTGACCTAATTTGTGCGTCTGTGTCTGAGTCTGTAACTCACCCTTTCTCCTCATTCACCCTCTCTTTTTCTCTCTCTGCACTCTCCCCTGCTGGGTGGCCATGGCAATGCCTCTTAACCTCTCTGGGCGTTTATACCCTCATCTGTAGTGTAAATGAGGTAAAGTCTTCAGAATAATACTGATGGAAATATTAACATATCTAACAATAATCACAACTACACTTATTTGTTCAGTTCTAGATGTTGGGTCCTGTGCTCAGCTCATGACTGGCATGATCTTACTTGATTCTCCTGGCAACTCTATGAGCTGCAGCCTATTATTATTATCCCCATTTTACAGATGAGAAAACTGAGATTGCAGAGATTCAGTGGCTTGCCTGCTTTCCCACAAGTAGTAAGCGGGGGGGCGGGGGGCTGATTCATTCTGGCTTACCCTCTGTGCTGTCCTGTCTCTCTGGGAAGACTCATGATTGGGGAGGACTGGGGGTGGGGGTTGGGCATGAGGGACCCCAGACCTCTGGTCTTGGCAAAAGGCTGAGGGCAGAGGGAGGGGGGTGCCCGGCTTCTCCTTGACTGTGTCCACCATCCTCAGTGAGTGGCTGTGAAGCAAGGAGAGTTACCTGACATCCAGCTGCTTTGGGTACCTCACCTGAAACTGTGGGAGGATCCTGTAGGGGTGAGTGTAAGTGAGGGGGGCCCTCTGATCACTGTGGCCTGAGGTGCCTCCAGGGTGAGGCTGTGTGAGTCAGCTCAAGAGGAATGGTGGTGGGGGACGCGAGGGAAGGGGACAGGGCCATGTCCATCCATTGGGAAGGGTGCCATGTCCCCCTGGCGTTGTATGTGCTTGAATGTGCCTGGTGTTCTACACGGTGCACGTGTGTGGAGGGGACTGGGGTGCAGGTGTCCGGGGCTTGTTGGTGGGCATCAGAGAGGCATCGTGTATATGATGGGGTGGGTGCCTGTCAGGAACATGTGGTGGGATGGTGTGTGAGAGCACGTGGTGTGTTTGTTGTATGTTGAGTGTGTGTACAGTGTGCATAGACACTGCGTGTGTGTGGATGGCTCTGGGTAGTTCTGAGCTGAGGCCATGCAGGGGTGAGGGGGGCTGTGGGTCACGGGTGCAGGAGTCCTGGGTAAGCAGTGGGTTGGGGATGGCCCTGGGCAAGGATTCCAGAGACTGAGAACCTGTGTTGGTGTCTCCAGCCCCAGTATCTGCATCTGTGAAATGGGCATAATGAACCCGGGAGGCTGTGAGGGGTGAAGGAGGCAGCACGGGCAGTGTGGCCCGCAGCCGTGGTGGGAATCTCAGACCTTCACTGGCTGCCCAGGGAGCCTCCAGGTGGGTGACTGCTCCTGGGACTGGCGATGTGAGAAGCAGAGGTCAGGCTTCTGCTGTGGGCACCCTCTCCTGCCTACGCCCGAGTCTGTGCGTGAGGGCGTGGGGGATGCAAACAGGAGACACCGTGTTTACGAGTCGTGAGCTCGGTGTCCGAGCCGAAGGTGTCCCTCCGTAGGGATGTGCGCGGTCATGTGCTCGGACAGGGAGGGGTCGGTGTGTGTCCTGGGTGAGGTGATGCGATTGTGCTGAAGTTGTGTGGGGCATTCGTGGGTGTGTTAGGTGTGGCCAGGGTGCATTTGTGTGTCTGTGTGTGTGTGCACATGTAGCTAGCGGTGTAGTAAGTGGGTGATCAGAGGATGGTGTGTGCGGGGCTCTATTGTCTGTGAGCTAAGAAGGTAGGCACACAGGTTGGGGTCAGTAAATGTTGCCCATAATTATGTGTGTGTACGACGGAGTATGAGTGCATAGCTGAGTGTTTTGTAGGGCGTGCTGTGTGTGCTGGGATGTGTGTGTGGTGTGTGCATGTGGTGTGTGCATGAGGATGTCACTGGATTGTCTGTTAGCTGCAGTGTGTGTGTGTGTGTGTGTGTGTGTGTGTGTTTATCAGGCACAGGAGGGTGTGAGTTTACCTGGGGGTGTGCAGTGAGGGTCATGGGGAGGCCAAAGGGTCCTGGGCATTCTGAATCAGTTCTCCTTTAAGGGAATGGAATGATTATTGTGCTAATTATGCATGGATTATGCAAATGAGAGGTCGTTTGGGGGTCAAAGGCTGTTTGTCGCCGCCCTCCTCTGGCATTTTGTGACTTTTGAGGCTTTCCCTGCTGCCTCCCAGGCTGCTCTCCGCCCCCATCTTTTTCCTCTGCCCTTTCTGTCCCCCTGGGAGCCACAGCCACCAGCAGCACCCTCGGCGGGCCCCCTGGAGCCCTGGTCCCCACTGGCCCAGGGACGGGTAGAGCTGGCACGCAGTCACCTTGGGGGGAGGTGCTGGGCAAGATGGCATTCTGCACCCCACCTCCCACCCCTGCAGGGGCGCCCAGCATCTAGCTTCCCAGGGCGAGTTCAGGGGTGACCGGGCCATGGGCCACCCCCCCCCCTCCGCCCCATCGAGGAGCTGCTTATTTTCTGGAAAGAATGATCTCTTGGATGCAGGTTTGGAAAATCACCGAGGTGGCCCCTTCCCCAGCTTTGTCTGGTGAGCGTGAGTCTAAATTAAGATGTGAGAGAATTCTCTCCCTCCACCTCCCACTCTCGCCTTCTCTTTCTCTCACACAGCGAGTCCTCCCTCCACTCCCCCCTGGACTCGTGACCCCTGGCCTTCCACTGTCCCTGCCTCTTCGTCCCATGTCTCTGCCCTCCCCCCTCCCTGTCATCCTCTCTGTTCCTCCGTGATCTCTCCCTCTCCTGCCAACCCCCCCCCCCCCCATCTCTGTGGGGAGCTGGAGCTCCTGGTCCCTTAGCATGGAGGAGATGGTCGTCATGGTAACGGTTGTCATGTCAATGGCTACTGATCTGGGGATGAATGGTATCTAGGTGAGAGCTACCTGAGTGGAGGCGGATGGGCTCACAGGAGGCTCCATGCTTGTCTCTGAGCCTCAGAGCTACACAGTATGCACCCCTACCCAGTGCCCGCACCCCTACCCAGTGCCCGCCCCCCGTGCATGTGCCTGTTTGTACCCAAAGGCACGCCAACACACGGTGCCTCTCTGTGGCTGCCTTTAGGTGAGTGTGTGTCTGGGTGTGTCTGTATATGTTTTCTCTGTTTCTGGTGTCTCTGTGTTCATTACGAGGGTCTGTGTGGCTTTGGGGTGGGGGTTCTTTGGATTTTTCTGCAGGCCTTTCTGGGATCAGGGTTTCAGGGGCTGTGTGTGGCACTTGTCACTGAGGCATCATGAGGCTGCCCTGTTTTGGCTCTCACATTTACCTCAGTTTGGAAGTCCCCAGGGATCACAGGCTTCTTAGAGTCTCTCCTCCCAGTAAAGATCTCCCTGGCCTGCCTGCAAAGATGGAAAGACCGGTGAGGCTGGCCCCACCCAGGAGTGGAGCCTGAGCCCTGGTCCTGCTCAGTCCCCATCCGCTGGGTGTCCCTGGGCAGGAGCTATAGTCTCTGTCCTGCTCAGTCCCCATCCGCTGTGTGTCCCTGGGCAGGAGCTGCAGTCTCTGTCCTGCTCAGTCCCCATCCCGCCGTGTGGCCCTGGGCAGGAGCTATAGTCTCTGTCCTGCTCAGTCCCCATCCGCTGGTGACCCTGGGCAGGAGCTATAGTCTCTGTCCTGCTCAGTCCCCATCCGCCGTGTGTCCCTGGGCAGGAGCTATAGTCTCTGTCCTGCTCAGTCCCCATCCGCTGGTGACCCTGGGCAGGAGCTATAGTCTCTGTCCTGCTCAGTCCCCATCCGCCGTGTGTCCCTGGGCAGGAGCTATAGTCTCTGTCCTGCTCAGTCCCCATCCGCCGTGTGTCCCTGGGCAGGAGCTATAGTCTCTGTCCTGCTCAGTCCCCATCCGCTGTGTGTCCCTGGGCAGGAGCTGCAGTCTCTGTCCTGCTCAGTCCCCATCCCGCCGTGTGGCCCTGGGCAGGAGCTATAGTCTCTGTCCTGCTCAGTCCCCATCCGCCGTGTGTCCCTGGGCAGGAGCTGCAGTCTCTGTCCTGCTCAGTCCCCATCCCGCCGTGTGGCCCTGGGCAGCAGCTGCAGTCTCTGGCTGCAGGTAGTTTGCCTAAGAACTGAGCAGAGTCTCCAAGGGACTCCAGCTTAGCTGCCCAGGTGTGGAGGCCGGCAGTGTGGGGAGCCTTCCTTCTGACCTCGTCACCCCAGGGCCCCGGGGGTGGTTCTTCTGGGCTGGGGAGGTGGAGACGTGAGCTGGGGAAAGTTGGACGATGGGTGCGCTGAGCTCCTGGAATGTCTAAGCCGGAGGAAGCCCAGCAATTAGTCACGGGAGCAATTACACTAATTGTTCCACTCCATGACTCACTGGTAGCAAGTAAATACTGATTAATTCATTACTTTGAGACGTGTGTGTGTGTGTGTGTGTGTGTGTGTGTGTGTGTGAGAGAGAGAGAGAGAGAGAGAGAGAGAGAGAGAGAGAGAGAGAGAGAGTGTGAGAACGGGCGGGGCGGGGGGAGGGGGAATCTCCTGGCCCCCTGCCCTGGCCCCCTGCCCTGCCTGGGTAGGGCTTTGGAGCAGGTGGCCGAGGCGGGGGCAGGAAGCCAGGATTGGGATCCTCTCTCTAGCTCTGTACGAACTCCAATACGGGGGCTTGTCAGGGGCGGGGTGAGAGGCGGATCCAGCC